CCCCCCCCCCCCCTCGCCCCGGCCCTGCGGCCGGCCGGAGAGGCTTGATAGGCGCTGGGGAGGGTTAGGCGGGGCGGACCGGGCCTTTCGTAAGGCCTCCGCGTTGGGGCCGGGGCACGTTGGTGTAGGGTCACCCCCCCCTCTCTTACTCCCTTGGTTTTGTTGCATTTGGTTTCGTTTTGTTTAGATTTTTTGCAGCTGCTTTTGTCGCACACAGAATTACCTCACTTTCTGCTTTTTACGTGAAGGGATGGAGTCCCGTCAGCCTCCGTAAGCGCTGGGCCCGCCTTGTGCCCCTTCCGCACGCGAGCTTCTCTCACCTCAACGCTGGCTCAGTCCTGCTGCCGCTGACTCTGCCCCTGCGGGACTTCCCGCCCCTCCGCGGGAGGAACGCGGCTGCCCCTTCCCGGGGCGGGAGCCCGGGCGCCGCCCGGAGGGGACCCAGCCGCCCGCCCGCCTTCCCCAGGTGACCGGGGGGGATGGGAGGTCGCTCACTGCCCGAGCTCTGACATGCATCACAGCGGCTTGAAGGAATTCTTGAGAGGGATAGAGAGGATGCGCTGCCTGCGGAGAGGCTTTTTCTTCAGTTGCTTGTGAAACATCTAGCGTTGACACCGTAGCGTGCTATCTCTGAGGTATCCCAGTCACAAGCAGAACCCAGTTGGGCTTCTGGTATAAAGAAAACAAAATGATGCCTTCCCCAAAAGGCTTACGGTTGCTCTTTGCACCTCCTTGAAATGCAGCAACATTAAATAGCTTTTTTAAAGTTTGATAAACTGCTGGAGAAGATGCTGCGTTAAACCCCATATTCTGTTCTAGCATCGTACACTGAGGCATATTCAGGCAATTCTTTATACCCACTTAAATAGTAGGGGACCATTCTGTTTAAGAGCAAGCCAAGGAGTTTTTAGATTCAGGGTATCCACAGAGTGCCATCAGTTTGAGCTTTTATCCCTGTTTTCCTTGTTTGATACAGTCATAAAACATGGAATCTAAGTCACTTTCAGACTGAAAATATTTTAAAGCTTGGTATTTAGAATGCAAGGTTTTCCAGAAGGACAAAAGCAGAATCTGTTGATGAAGCAAGGTCATGCTTGTTAGATATTTTAAACGACAGAGATTTAAATTACTATGATTAATTAGAAAGTTGACTGCTCAAATTAAACAATCAGTTCCTTTGTCTTTGGACAGGATTTTAAATACTGAACATTAGTCATCAGTCATGTGAGGATTTAAACAAGCACTTAGCTTTATGCAATTTGAGTGATTAGTTCTATTCAAGTGAATAGTACTGTGCAGAGCGTGTAAGGTTTAGCACATCTCAAACCCCCAATTGTACAAAGCTTTAACATGTGACCCGAAAAGTGATTTTTTTTTTTTCAAGGCTGTTTCCTAAGAAACAGTGTTTATGCAGTCACACGTGTCTATCATCTACTTGTTCCCCATCATCGGGGGAAGGGGAATGGTCACCAGCTTGTTGGCCAATTTCAGCTAGTTTTCACAGACGAATGGAAATTTCAAAACTAATTTAGCTTGTACATACTTGGTGAAAATAGGTGGCTCTGTATAAGAGAGATCTTTTACTTGCATAATGAAAGCAGCTGCAGGAACTGAAATATTAGACATTACAAAACCTTTATTTAGATGAATAAGAGAAAACATAATACCTAATTAACCCACTTAGACAAAAAGGTTCAGTTAAGACTTATGACCAACCCAAAGGTGAGCCATTACTGAGTTTTGTTGGGTGTTCAGGGTGCTTTTAGAGGAAAAGAAAACAAATCTAAATCTCTTGTGGGCATTATCTGAGGTCTGCTAATGAAGACCTGTGGTTTAATACCGAGTTCACCATTAAAAAAGGGGGAGTGTCAAATGTCTGCTTGAATAAAGCTTACCTTTTGGGAGCGTGCTTGCTTAGGTCCTGCAAAGTTCATCTTCATTTGGGTGTTCATCTGCTGCACTCTCTTCCTGGAACCAAAAATGTTCATCTTAGAAGAACCTGTATATAAAACCAGTGATATGCCTACACATACGTATCCCTCTGTTTTCTGTTAGCAAAATAGGATGATAACCAACATACATTGATAGTGTAGCCTAGAAAATAAGGTTAAAGGCTTTGTGCTGCTTTTTTCCTTTGCTTTCTAGCATAAAAATGGGAATAGAAGCTCAAAGGCATTTAGAGACCACCTACCACAGAAATTAAGCTGTAACGTGGGAGGAAATAGATCATAAATATCACCATATATGAAAGAAATGAAAGATACCAGAATGGAAAAAATATCAGGTAAGATACTGTATTTTTAAGAAAAGTCCAAGCACTTACAATATCCCTACTTAGTTTTACTGAGCACAGAATACTTTAAAATGGTAATATATCTCTCATTTCAAAAATAACAATATACTAATAATCTCCAAGCACCACCTACAGACTCTTGTCCTCACTTCTTTTTTATTTGTAAAATGCACGTGTGGAATGTCAGGCACTTGTTTGGCAGCCTTGTTTTTTAAAACTTACTTTGTGCTGGTGTGAAGAGTTACATAGCATGCAAACCAATGAATAATCAGGCCCAGAGAAATTAAGGCGTATTTGCTGGTAATCCACTCTTGCCAGAAAGAGCATGTCAAGAGAAGGCTGGCAGGTTTGAACCCATCTTGATAGGGCATTTTAATGATTTCCCAACAGGAGGGAAAATACTTGGATTTGACTCGAGCCCGAGTCCTTGATTTCACAGTGATTCCGTATTGTACTAGCAGATGATCACTTGTGTATCTATGTACCAACAAGTATCTTACAACTACTAAATCTTTTACGTGAGCGTTTAGTGAGGCTTTAAGGGCCTGAGAGTCTCTCACTGACTCACTGACTGACCTCCTCCACTGGAGCTGCTTTGACCTCATTGCAGGCTGTGGTGTAAGACGCTGCTGTGACCTGCTCTCCTCCCACAGACCAGGCACGTGCATGTCTGCTCTGTCAGTTTGCTGGCAAAAGCAAAGACTATAGCAGCAGGGTATAGCACTATAGGGTAATGTCTCCGATGATGTCTCCAATTGTTTCCTCACTGTGACAGGAGCACAAACCTTGTATAGGTAACGTGGCTCCATGGGGAGAAGAGCAGGAAGGGAATGGCAGAAGATGGACAAAGGTGGACCAAGCAGAGTCAGTGAGCCGGGCTGAGCACAGCAGCACTGTGTCTGTTCACTTGGAAATTTGCCAGCATGGAGCATAAGGAAAACTGCAGTACAAAACCTGTGTGTCAGCCCACTGCCTGCCAGTACTGTCAGGCTGATGTACTAAAATGAATTTTAAATGTATACTTCTTTGTTACTTGAACAGTGATTTTATTTGGCATCCCTCTGCAAGAGTCAAATCTCTTGAAGATTTTTGCTATTTATGTGTTTATGTTTGTTTTTTATTCCTGGGGTTTTATGTAGTTTGGAATTTAAAACAGCAAGTGACTAGACTTCCATGTGAAATCATGATGTTGGTTCTCCCCTTGGACCTTGTCATCTTTCAAATCAAATTCACTTGTAAGTTCAAAAGGTAAACATTCCAAGAGGATTGCATTTTAGCTTCCACTTAACACAGAAGTATGTAGCTACTGAGAGTGTAAGGCAGCAAAGAGTCAAGGTCAATATGTTAACAAGGGTAGCTGCAATGTGACTCTAAATTTCCTCCTATTTAAAGGAGAGAAAATGCTCTCCATGGAAAAATAGCGTGAGGATTATCTTCCTCATGTATTATCTGAAACATTAGTAGAAAGGTGAGTGCTATGGCAAAAAAAAAGTTACTTCGATGTATGTTGTCATAGAAAATAAAAAAAATCATTGTAAAAGTAAAGGGGCATATGGAGGAAATATGAAGAAACATTTCTTCTACATAGTCCGTAATCACATTTAAAAAAAAATCCATGCTTTCTACCAAAATGTCCCGATTTGCAATTGCATTATACATTGTAGGATTTTTTTTTTAGTAGAGTGGTTAATTTTAACCAGGGAAAAGATTTGTTCATATTTCATCCGTGATAAACAAAGCGTGTTCCCTGAAGTTTTTACTTCAGACAACAGAATCATCTCTGTACGCTTCAGAAGGCTTCTGCCTTGTGGAGATTTATACCTTTTGAAAATCAGTGGGTTCCTTCACTGAGAAGTATGAAGCATTTCAGGAAAGAAGATAACTGACGTGCTTTTTTTATGGCAGCTCTTACAATCTGAAAGATCTGGGATACCAGAATACTGTTCTCGTATTACATTTTGTGACTGATGCGCGTTTGATGATAAAGTGTAATTAGCTAATGGATCCCATTAGTTCTGATGCTTGCTTTTCACAGATCATATTCATCCAGGCAGCAGCTGAAGAGTTTTCTAAACTCAATTAGTGCAAGAATGCTGTGACCAATGGAAAAATGTTTGATGCATGCCAGAAAACAAATCTTCCCAGCTCTTGGAAATATGTTCTGAAAACAAATTAGGATCACACAAGATTTTCATATTAATAAATATCTATTTTCCTAAGAAAATATTTAAAATATAAAGCAAAATTTTTGGTTTAATTATCCTTCTGTAAGGAAGCTTTATAACATAAGGCTATGGATTATCCTGATTGGTGTGAATACTGACTCCCATTTGCAGATTATAAATGTTAATGTCACATTGAGATTGAAAACACAAGCCAATTTGTAATGTAGACATTGACACAGTGATAGGCATTGTTGCACTGGCATTTATTGCATGTAAATAATTAGCAATACAATAGGTCACTCGGGACCCACTCATAGTGTTCCTACTTGGGAAAAATCACAATTAATGATTGTCTTGACTTTAGTTTTGCATGAACAGGATAGCTCTTTCAGTACAATAAACAAAAGAAATGCAAAGCCCATCTTGGATCTGAACATAGAATCATAGAATGTTTTGGGTCGGAAGGGACCCCTAAAGGTCATCTAGTCCAACCCCCTGCAGTGAGCATACAGACAGACATTAAGGCTTATTGTTTTAGCTCTGTTATCATCTGACTTGTTTCTGGAATCTGATAAGATGTTGTGACTTAAATTAAATGTGTATCCTATTTACAATGGTTGGAAATGCACATATTCAGTTATCATAGTTTAGCTGGAAAGTGATAGTCTGTTAACTGCTCATTTTAGAATCTATCCATATATATATTAAAGCATAACATCAAAAAATCTAGGACTTAGATTTGGAATATAAATTCATCTATGATGTTCAACCTCTTTTGCAGTATACAAGGCTTTAGTGGTATTTGTTGACAGTAAATTAGAATTAAAACTCTTCTCCTGTACCTCCACAGAAGCTGCTCTTAAGATGTGTGCGTGAGCTCATACACTTGCACTTTTATTTATCAACAGGAATCAAAGTTGTAAGAAGCCGACTGGGCAAAAACCCAGTACCCCCAAGCTACACAAATAAGCTAACAAGTAAACAGAATCACATACATGAAACAATTTATTTTTTTAGACCAGAACAGCATCTCCAAGCTTCCTGCTGTATTTTGCTGCCCCTGGAGGCTGCTTCTCAGTTTAGTTCCCTTTTTTAGAAACTAAACACAGCAGGGTCCAGTGGGATCCAGCTGCCCTCTCTCAACTCTTCTGCAGAGAGGAGTTGTCCTGGGTCTTAGCTTCCGCAGGCCTGTTGGGTTACTTTCAACTTTTCCATGTTAAAGAAATTTAGGGAAGAGTGACCATAGGAATGGGCACCTATTTTGCACATTTCTAAAATACAGGCTTCTTGCCCCAGTAGGTTTAGTTACGTTCAGATTACAAATACGATACTGCACTCCGTGATCTGTATGTCTACCTTTCTCTTTAAAACTCACTTTTGATGTAAGGCGTACAGAAAGATGCTATCTTCTAGGTAGATTAAAAGGTGTGATTATTGTTATTGACTGCAGAAATAGACTATTAGTTATGCATGCGCTTAATTTGCTGAAACATCAATCATGGTTTAGAGCAGAAAGAGGTAGGTTTCTGTGAAGTTATATTAATCTCTACTGAGGTCATTTCTATTTCTGATTTTGAATCTGTTTGTTGTTTCAAGTGAAACATTTTCCACTGCCTGTGGTAAGAGGGCAGATAAGGCAGAAGTATCAGAGCTCATGAACTGCTGTGTACTTACTGACCTACCAGAGAACTGAGACATTTTCTCCAGAAACTGAAGCAGTTGAACTCTGAAGGAGAATGAACCCTTTTGGCAAGGCTGTATAAAGGCTCGGGATGGAAAATCTTGTGTTTATGAAGTAGAGAGAGTGAGCAGAAATGTAGTGACTGTCCGGCTTGTAGCATTAAGGGAAAATAATAATGCATTTTATTCACACAGGGCTGAATCTGGCTGGGTTATTTGGATGCTGCATGCTGCCAGGAATTGTGGAATCGTCGAACCCAGCAGGGTCCCCGTCTGGTGTAGGGTTGACAAAGTGGTTGTTACCTGTTACCAGCTGCAGCTCTTGAGCTGAGACAGAGGTCAGTTCTCAGTGCCTTGTTACATGTTAATAGCTGATGCATTGTAAAGTAATCTGTCCACCCTCACCTAACCCTTTGTTCAGGGGCAGTGGTGAAGAAGTTGTAGGATCTGGTATCTCCAAATGGCTCTTTTGTCGTTCTTTCCTCCAGTGTTCCCAAGAGAATCTAGCCTGTAATATCTACCCACTAGGAGATCTACACCCAGTTCACAGAAACACAAACACATGCAGTATTACAACACATGTATTAAAATTACTTTTTTTTACAAGATCAAAAACAGATAGAAAAAATAAAGTGCTGTGGGAAAGCTTTTACCAAATAAAAATGTCTGTGGAGGCTTGATCATATGTGGGCCTGTGAATAACACTCAGGAGACTATAAACTTTAGACAAACCAGATGGTTAGACAACAAACCAGATGGTTTTATTTATGCAGACAAAGTTCACATTTAGGGAGGTACTTTGTTCTTCTAGAGAAGGTTTCACACACAAAGTAAAATAATTATATATGTGTCCTATGATGCTGGACTGGAACATTCATACAAATTTAAGTCTCATCAAGTAGTCCATTGTGCTTTTGATAGAAATATCATAATTACATCATTGGGATACTCATTGGCTGCTCTTGTACATGGTGTTTCTTCTTTTTACTGCAGTAGCATCCAAAGGCTTTAGTGAGGATTATGAGCAGCTTTTGTTACGTGTTCTGAAACTGCATGGGAAGATACTGTTCTTGCTCAGAAGAATTTAGTGTAAGGAAGAAGAAATGCAATACAGGAGTTGACCAATGATAGAGGAAAAGTAAGAGGGAGATAATAGGTTGTTACTGCAAGGACTAGATAGGTTTTGGCTAGGAACTAACTCTCCTTTTCAGTATCTATGAAGTTAACCACACTGACCTTCTAGTCCTTTAGTTTTGCTTTTACTGCAAACCCAGAAAGTACACCTGTGTTAACTGTAAAGTATATGCATACCTACTTTTCCTTCTCTTTTAAAAGCTGCTTCATCAAAACATGTTAAAATCTCAAGGCCCCTTGAAATGCCCGGGTTTGTGAATTGTCACCTGTACTCATTTAGCTGGGCTTTTAGTTGCCCTGTCTGGTGGAGGTCAGTTCTCTAACAGAATGGCAAACAATAGGTGCATTCCAGATTATTTTAATGCAAAGTTAACGTCTTGGATTAAAAACCTTACACCTGTGGTAGCCTCCAGCAACACAGCAATCATAGCAGCTGATGATCTATACTGTCTATACACAATCCTTTTTTGAGTGTTTATCTATGTCATAATTTCACGGGAGCTTTTGACCCAGATTGTTGGTTTGGTTTTTTCTGATGGTGCTACCTATAGCTTCTTGCTGATCTTAGGAAAAAGTATTTCTGGAAAGCATATTTCTGCAACCTAATGTAGGTATGGCATGTAGTGACACATGTATTGTGATTAGCAGATTAAGAAGTGAGAGAAATTGCTCTGGTGACTTTCTTAGTATAGTTTAAAAAAACCCGTATCAATGAACTTTTACTCCCCATTCCTTATGAAGAATTGCACCTTAATTGTAAACACCTCTTGAACAGACATCTGTTCTGGACTCTCTTCATATTTACATTCCATCCAAATTTCAGCTTTGCTGAAAATTTCATCTTATCCGTATTCTTCAGCTATTGATTTTATAAAAGTATTCTTTAAAGATTGTAACTTCTCAGTAGAGCTATGGACATTCAGAAAATACAGAGCAGATAAAATATTTCTTTTTCACTGGTGGCAAAACTGTCAGGCTGATCTAAACGTTGCAAATACCATCTCATGATTTTTCCTGGAAAGTATTATCTTTCCAAAACAAGTATAGAAATGATGGCACTAGCATTGCATCTATGAACCACAACAAAAGGAAAATATGTATTTATAAAAATCAAAATTAGTTATTTAATTTTATGGCAATCAAAATCAAGGAAAATGTACAGTATCTCAATTTGAGAAAAAAAATTATCTGGGAAAAAAACCCCAAACACTGAGCATATCAACACAGAAATTATAGTTCCCCTGTAGAACACGAGACCCATATGCATTTCAAACTGTAGAAGAAATTAATTAGGTTTTCCTTTACTTATAGAATATAGAGACTGAGTGTACACTGATTGGAGAAATAATAGTACCCTCGCCCTAGCAAGACACCTCTCTCAGTGTGAGATACGAATGTTTTGTACACGGCCCTTCATCTCCTAACAGGCACCTCGGATGTTGTTTCAGTTCTGTAGGTCAGATGCTGCTCTGGGCTCCGTGGGAATCCCTGAGTTTGGCACCTTTTCTTCATGGGGAATAAAAATACGGTGTATCAACCATACAGCATCAAAGAAAACTATTACTCGGAACAGTGAGCAATAATCCTCCCACACTGATTATCATTGCCTGTAGTCTTACACAGTGGAAGATAACTGTTGATGCAAGCTTGCAGTCTTGTCAAATGAAGGAGTTTGGAGAGTAATATAAGTATGGAAATACAAACTCTGGTGATTTTATACCACACAGAAATCAGTAGTTAGATGGGAAATGAACCCCAGGTTTCAAAGATGTTTAAAATGTATATGGCATGTAGATGCCTAACTCCAAAAGGAACACAAAACCCCTGCCTTTAAGTAACTTAGGAGCCTGAGTTCTGTTTGCAGAATGACATAGATTCATAGTCTATATATAATTGAAAGTTAATTAGACTTTTTAAATATCGGTAACTTTTGAAAATAGGACTTCTGTTCATTATCACTGGAAGCCTTTGGAACATTTATTTTCTATCCAGCACGCTCTCTGTATCAAGTGGAGTAGTCCTCTCTGTTCTAGCAGATCCATTATTTGGTAGGAGCTGGAAGCAAACAGGTCAAGTTTTTCACAGACAGGCCAGGGTTGTGCTTGGGACAAATGCAGCAGAGTATTAAGGACTGAAAGAATGTATTCCATTGGATTTAAAGAGTCTCTGAACTGTTATTCTTATATAAACACTTTTCCTTTTATGCTTTTTAAGATTGGAGTTAAAAGCTCTTCAAGTCTATTTATTGTGCATTCTGGACTCAGTTGCTAGTCGTTTATTTTAAGAGTTAAAGTATTTTGACAAAAAAGTCCCATATAATCTCTACCATGTAATTCCATTCCATGGTCAGTGACATTTTAGATAGATAAGCCACCAACACAACTGTTCACAACCTTCCATTGTCCCAAAATCAGTTTAACGATAATTATATGTTGTTGCCACGTCATATGGAGCTGATATCAATTTATTTTTTTTTAATCCATAGACGGCATCAGGTTTCAAATGTGTTGGAGTTTGATTTTAATATATTTAGTGTTTATACCTTTTTAATTAAAATAATAGAACACTTGAGATTTTCCATGTTTTATTAAATTTTAAAACATCATTCATACAGTTCACATTTAATAGAAAGAATTTTAATCACGCTTCAATAAAATATTAAAATGTGATATATTGATTTATCATTTTGAACATAATTTTCTGCAGTTAGTTGTATCTCATGAGCTTGGCAGGATACTTGCCTTGCAACAGCACAAAGAACTGAACCATCATTTGCGGAAAAGGGAAAAAAAAAGACCGTCTCGTCTCTGTGTGATCTCAGCCTGTGCATGCATGAATTTCCTCTATGCAATTATCAAATCTTCTGAATACAAAGACTTAAACAAACTAACCAATAGTTCTGACTGAAAATGCACAGAGCCCTTGCCTTCAGCATCAGAAACTGTACAGTCCCCATTAGTCTTCCTGATTTAATTTTAATTCTATGCCTTTATTGATTTCTTGCAAAATGTGGCCATTTGGAAACCGTAGCAACTGAAATCTTGCTTTCTATAAAGCACTGTCAGTGCAAACATCTCTGCTTAGAGTTTGCAATGCACATTTTATCTAAAGTCTCTAGGTTCCTGTTAATGTCTGCATCTTTGGATTTCAAATTCTGTGGCATATGTAGTGATGTGATAACTGTTCAATAGGTAGCTCTGGTCCAAATGATGTAACTCTGCTCTAAAGAATGTATGTAGTTACTCTTTC